TATTAGATCGATTCAGCGGTGGAAACCCAGAGGGTTGAATTTTTCGGGCAGAGCTGTACTTCACCTACCTTGGCTTCTCCGAAAAGGACTGGTTACCTCTTCCTTACCACTACCTTGATGGTGAAGCTCTTGCTTGGTTTGATTGGTTGTTTCGAAATGAGCAATTTTTCGATTGGAATCATTTTAAGGAGAAACTGAAGCTGCGTTTTCGCACTCGAACTAGAGAAGCACGTGCTGGGTTCTTAGCCGTTTACCAGCAGCGCAAGCCGTTAGAGGATTTTCTAGCACGAGATGCAGCCATTCCATCATGGTGCAACATTAGCACCTCACCCTCGCCTCAGTATTGGAATAAGCACTCGAACAGCAACAACCTGAACGTGGCATACGAGGTGCTCGAGGAAATGCCAGACACCTCCCAAGATGATGAAGCAGCAGTTGAAAATAGTGAGTTACCAGAAAAGCATCTTGATGCCAATTCCATGTACAATGTCGCTAATGGAAGTCCTATTGGAGTTGAACCTCTTAAAGACAAGGAAAATATTACAGGAGCTACTGATGATGACTGAGAAAGAGGAATCCATAGAGGAAGGCCAGGTGTTCGACAAAATGCCGCACAAGTGCTACTCCAAGGTACTCACTGATGAATCTGGTTTGGATGATGGTGACTCAGAGGAAGACATGGTGCTTGCTGAAAATTTCCAAAAAGATACATGTTGGTTGCCTACTCAAATTGCCGATACGACTTCATTTCTGATTTCTTTTGTTGCATGTGAGTATAAGGTTAAAAATAGGACCGTGCTAATTACTGGAATCAATTGCCCGTTGGCAAACACCTTGGCGTTTTCTAGTCAAGTACTTTCACTGGTACCACACTCTGGTAGTTGGGCTACGGATGCAAGAGATATTGGACTATCAAATTCTAGTTATGTGGCCATGTGGGTTGACACAGGGCAGGATTTTATCCTTGCTTTAGGGTGTGCACCTCTTATGTGTATTCCTTTAAGTTCTCCATTATATTCACATACACTATTTGAAATAATTAGAAAAAGATGGAGTTATTCATTTGCAAAGTTGTATGATTGAGAGCTGTTAGGTGAAGCTAAATTTGATGTTGAGTCCTTTGATGCCGTGTATCTTGATGGAATTCTCAAACGAACTATTGACAAGAATTATGTCTCTCCAACTGATGCGGCAACTATTTTTCTGGAACTTGTCGTCAACATTTGCAGTTGGTTTGATCCTGGACAGCTTATGTTATATATAGTCTATATGGGAAATAATGATAGTGACTTTGCTGCCAATACAATTACGCTGCTAAAATTTCATGCAAAACAAGATTACAACACCATGATTTATGATGATGAAATTGATGGGACGCAACCTCTTCTACGCTTAGGCGTCACGGTGAACCCAATCTGCAAGAAGTTCTTAAAAATATATGGTGGTTCCACCATAATTACAACACTTATTTAGACTAGTGGTGTGATACGGGGCACAGACTTACAACTAGTAAGTTTTCTCCAATTTCATTTTTGACTATTCTGATTGATATATATATGTATATCAAATTTAGTAGGCTGGACAATTGGAGACGGATGTTCGGCGACATGATTTACAACAAATTGCTCACGGTGTTGGCATCGTCCATACCACCAACTAGTGTCTATAGTGAGAGGATTGCTATGGCTGCTAAGTTTTCCCAGGTCACTAGCACTGCGCTGGCAGTACCTCCTACTAATGTGGATGCATCATTTCAAGCGTATATTGATGACTTCCTTGATACGAATCCCGGACACTAGCTTGTCTTTACTTCACCCTTAAGCTCTTATGTTACTACAACTGGTTGGCGAGCAGTTGTTTATGTGCCGCACACAATCTACAACACTGATGGACATCAAAGTGATACTACTGCAGTAGACCTTGAAAACTTGACACTTTCATATGCTATTGGAAGTAGAGGTGCTGGAATGAACATCAAAGACATTTTTAGCCAACTTTTGAGTAGGGGCTCAATACGCGAGGAAGAGAAAATAGTAAGAGGTGTTGCTGCATTTGTTATTCGTTACCATCGTGGCCAAGGAATAATTCAGCAAATGATTGAGCACGTTTGCTATCAATGGCCCAATGCGAGGCTCGAAAGCAAAGGCTTTCTCAGTATTGTGGATTTTGAGAAAAGAATGCATGATAGGATGAAAATGACTTTGTGTGCAGATTGCGAGCCTAAGATAGATAGTGAGCTTGAAGAACTAAAATCTATCTCTCTACATCTCTTCATGACTGGTTTGCAAGAGAAGGAAATGACCTTCCCGACACCATCGCTATGAAGCTGGTGCAAGCTCTTGCGGGGTGTGTGACGATCATTAAACATTTGGATGTTCATCTGGTAAATATGAGTTCGGAGGGACTCATTAAATTGATTCTAGGTACCAAACAATCAAGGAAGCATGACCTTTTGCAATTTGTTGCTGAGTGGCATGCCGAGAGCACTTCAACAATTGACTTAGAGAGAATCACATCGTGGCTTTTCTCGTGGATCATTGAGTCGATATGGTGGCAGACCTTGATTAAAAATATGCAAGTTCCCACAGATGACTCGACTGTCAGCAAATCTGTTGAGATGTTCTTAGGATCACCTGTCCTGCATATCCAGTAACAAAGAAAGTTTTCCATTATCTTAAGAGATCATGCTTACCAGGAGACTTTGAAGAGATTATGTCCTGTCTTGGCTGGACATGTGGTGGAACAATGTGTTGTCAGCCTAAATGTGGCTGAAGTCGATGCTATTTTTCGCGAATTAGCTTGTGGAATCCCAACAGCTACTCCATTTGATCCAATTGTTAACGCAAAGGTGTTACCTATTCCGACATTGACCTTTACAATATTAGTCTCATGGGATCTGCGTGCTAGCGGTTTTGTCGACCCATATCTTGTTGATGCAACTCCTGAGCCACATTCAAGTCTTGACATAATCACCGATATCCTATCAATGTTTCTCTACTCAAACCTTGAGGACAAGGTTCTTATTGAGGATGGGTATTGTTATGAATGAAAATAATCTCATGACAGGCATGTTGGAAAAATTAACAAATTACGTGTGAGACCCTGGGATAAGGGCACGTGAGGAAAGAATTGGGCAAATGGAAAAATAATAAATAGTAGTAGGCTAGGTGAAATTAGGTATGCTATGTTATTGACAGAGTAGTCTTCTATTTCTCATCCCCTATTCTGTATCCTCTGCATTCTCATCCCCTTCTTCTAGGTTACTATTCTTCTATCCTTCTGTAACTTTCCTTTTTTATTTTGGTTATTAATTGAATAGCCAGTCCTTCTGTTGTTGTGAGTGTTCATATTTGGAGGTTGTTACATGGTGGATGTGGATTTGGTGGGTCGGGCACCGGCCCTAGTGGTGGGGCTGACGAGGTTGGTAGTGTCGCTGCATTAGAGCACAGTTGCTTGGTAGTAGTTTGTGAAGTGTGTTGTGGATGTGAGGAGTTTTGTTGAACCAGGTGGCAGGGGCGGAGCTACAGTAGAGGGTGCGGGTTCGGGCGAACCCAGTGACTTTTTCCGAGACCCTGTATTTGTATTGAAAAATTTACTATTTCTATATAAATATAGCATGCCGAACCCAGTAACAAAAGATGTTTGGGTTTAATGGTAAGAGTTCTGGGTTCGCACAGAGAACACGTGGGTTCGAATCCCGCTCGAAGCAGTGTGTTATTTTGTTGTTTTTTACAAAACAAAAAATATCAGAAAGTATAATTGTTTTTTACAAAACAAATATCAGAAAATACAAACTAAGGACAATGTAATTCTCGAACAATTTCAAAAAGCACAAACTACCGACAATGTAATTCTCAAACAACTCCAAAGGACACTTTTTGACTTACTTTAGACTAAAATTTATTCTTTTTAATACATAAAACATAAAGCATTTTCTCTTTCTAATAAACAATTCATTTTAAACAAAAACAGCCAAGTGCCAACACACCTTCTGTCTTTCTAATTCTCAAATCAAAAAGCTAGATTTCTTTGCCTGTCAGTCTTTTGATGATTTGATCGCTGCTACAACCCTCTGCCGGAGCCGGATGCCCTCAAACTCTCGTTGTGTATGCTCTTACTCTCTTAGAAGTTAGACCCTTCTTTCTTCTTCAATTCCTCTTTCCTGATTTTTTTCTCTTCATGTTTTCCTCTTATATTTTATATTTGACAATTTATACAAAATCTAATTTTTAATCTTTGATTCTAGGGTTGTCCCACATTTTGAACTTCATTCTCTTTGTCAATTTGTGCTTTAGTACTTTCCAAAAGTTCAAACTTGGATTCTCCGACAAATCGACACACAAGGTATGTGGTCCTACTTTCCTGTTTTTAATTTCTTAGTGAGACCAACTTTTGGGTGTAATTTTGTTTTATAATTTTTAGGGTCTTGAAGTGTAATTTTGTTTTGTAATTTTTAGGGTCTTCTAGCAAAAGTCGATATGATCACGAGTTTTTACAAAGCTCAAGCTTCTGCATCTTCTTCTAGCTCTCCTTTGTCAAGTTCTCTATGTCCAGTTATTAGTAACAATATTAATCCTTCCCAAGCATCGGATAAAGTGTTGGATTATGAGCCCGATCCCGCTGAAAGAAAACCAATTTCAGCATATCCACCTAATTTACGTGACAGAGTAAGGAGAAATTATATACAAAATGGACCTTGTCAACCTCGTGGTTTTGTCTTTCCAAAAAGAGATTTTGGAGGAATAATGCGTCAGTTTAATCCTGAATGGTTTAAAACTTCATGTTCTCAATGGTTAGAATATAGCATTAAATAAGATGCAACATTTTGTTTATGTTGTTACTTGTTTAAAAATGAGATTGGAGGATATGGAAAAAAAGTAGGTGATGCTTTCACAACAAATGGTTTTAGAGGTTGGAATAAAGGTTTAGAAAGACTTAAATCACACGTGGGTGATGTGAATAGTGTTCATAATCGATGTTTCAAGATGATGCTAGATTTAATGAATCAAGCACAATCTATTCTAACATCTTTGGACAAGCAATCTGAGAAAATTAAAAGTGAACATCGAGTTCGCTTGAATGCTTCAATTGATGTGATAAGGTATCTTTTGAAAGAAGGAATGCCTTTTCGGGGCCATGATGAAACTGTAACTTCTACAAGAAGAGGCCATTTTTTAGATCTTTTAAAATGGTATGCGGATAGGAAGGAAGATGTGAAAAATGTGGTATTAGAAAAAGCTCCAAAAAATAACACCATGACTTCTCCTGATATTCAAAAAGATATTGTGAATTCTTGTGCAGAAGAAACAGCGAAAGCAATTATTGAAGACTTGAATGGGGATTTTTTTGGGATATTAGTTGATGAGTCTAAAGATGTCACTCATAAGGAACAAATGGCTCTTGTGCTGCGCTATGTCAACAAAGATGGTGAACTTATTGAGCGATTCCTTGGTCTTGTTCATGTTAAAGATACAACTGCACATGCATTACAAAAAGCAATAAATTCTTTGCTTTTACAACATTCATTGAGTTCATCTTTAATACGGGGACAAGGGTATGATGGAGCTAGTAACATGCAAGGAGAAATTAATGGTCTTAAAGCTTTGATTCTGAAAGATAATCCTTCGGCATATTGCGTACATTGCTTTGCTCATCAATTGCAATTGACTCTTGTAGCTGTTGCAAAGAAACACCATGATATAAATAATTTTTTTGACATTCTTGCTAATGTTCTGAATGTTGTTGGAGGTTCTTATAAGCGTAGGGAGATGCTTAGAGATGATCAAGCTGAAAAATTAGATGAGTTATTAGTGCTTGGTGAAGTTCATACAGGAAGTGGATTAAATCAAGAACTTGGACTTCAAAGACCAGGTGATACCTGTTGGGGATCTCACTTTAAGACATTGCGCAACTTTATATCTTTATTCTCATCAATTGTTCATGTACTTGGAGTTCTTGCAAATGAGGGTTCAAATTATCAGGAGAAAGAACTGGCAAAAAGTCTAGTGGAAGATATAAGATCTTATGAGTTTGTGTATATATTACATTTGATGTTAAAAATAATGGCAATAACATATGATTTGAATATGGCTCTGCAAAGAAAAGATCAAGATATTGTTAATGCTATGAAACTTGTTCATTTCACAAAGAGGCAATTGCAAACAATGAGGGAATCTAAATGGAATTCTTTGTTAGAAGATGTCTCTTCGTTTTGTGATAAGAATGGTATTATGATCCCAAAAATGGATGAGAAGTATGGTATTGGAAAGTCGAAGCTTAAAAGCTCAACTGTTACATATTCTCATCATTTGCATGTAGAAGATTTTTGTGCCGCTATTGATTTGCAACTTTCGGAGCTTAACAATCGTTTTAGTGAAGTGAATACTGATCTGCTTCTTGGTATGGCTAGTTTGAGTCCGGTGATTCTTTTGCAAATTATGATAAAAATAAGATTATGAAACTTGCTACATATTATCAAAATGAGTTCACTGCTTCTAAGCTTGAAGATCTTAGTTTTGAGCTTGACAACTATATTGACTATGTTCGAGAAATGGACAATGCATTCTCTAACTTGAAAGGGCTTGGTGATCTCTCGAAGACATTGGTTAAAACAAATATTCACAAGACATGGGGAATTGTTTATTTGCTTGTGAAGCTAAGTTTGATATTACCCGTGGCTACTGTAACGGTCGAAAGGGCTTTTTCCTCAATGAAGTTTATTAAAAATGACTTGCGAAGCAGAATTGGTGATGACTTTTTGAATGATTGTTTAGTTTGTTATATAGAGGATGGAGTATTTGAAAGTGTATCTAATGATGCGATCATTGATCGTTTTCAAAACATGACAAGTCGTCGAGTTAAATTGAAATGATAATGTTTGTATTCATATATTGTGTTTGTCTGGTTCGTTACCTTTAATATATATTAGATATCGATACTCATTCTTTAGTCGGCTTGTTATTGTATATTAGTTTTAGATCATCGTCTTTTCTTATAATTTAGAACCCATACACTTTAAATCCTAACTCCGCCTCTGCCAGGTGGGTAGTATATATATCCAGTGGTATGTGTTGTGCTTCGTCGTTTAGTGAGGGTGTATGGGAGTTTATGTGTAGCATTAGAGGAGATACGTCAATAGTGGTAGGGGTTGCCATTACCGATGGCACTTGAGATCATAGGATAGGCAGTTGTAGTTTAGGTGTCTTAGAGATTCTTTGCTGGTTTAATTCATGGCTGGTGGAGGTGTGTGGGTTTGTATTGTTGGAGTAGGCAGCGTTTGACAGGTGTTGGTTAGGAGAAGAGGTGTTGGCTTTAGGTTCTTGCATGAAGGAGTTTGCGTATGTAGGGGATTGCTTAGTGAGTGAATTTGCCGACGTCAGGTGTTTATGAGTGGCTTGGTATTATGAGAGAGCGGCGTTATAATTATGTTCTGGGTCATAATGAATTTGGGATAGGGGAGTTGGTGTCTGTGAGGAGTGGTGTCTTCATAATGAATTCTTTTGTAGATGGGTTCCTAATAAAATTTCAGTTGGAAGGGGTTTTCCTATTGGTGCAAGAATACAAAGACGCGCATAACGACACATCTAATAGCTTGGCTTGTGCAGTTATCAATTTTTAGTAGGTGTCCTATAAAGTTTCCTATTTTTTGTAAAATTTGTAAATCATAAAATTCGGTAGGCAGTTCTTGTAAATGGATTCATATAGTGGAGAAGTTTATGTGTGTTGCTGCCGGGTTAAACTTTGGTTCCCACTGACGAAGGGAGAGGTATTGGGCGCCTATGAACCACGTGCCTTGGTGCATGACTTTATTGAAATTTTCTTTGATAGTAAATTTTATTAGGTAATAATCGTAGCCCAGATCGATGAGAGTGAGTGGTTCCGATAGTTTCCAAAGGTTTTGTAATGAAACCCTTATTCCAAGTAGTTTTATAATGACTGCTTGGGACCAGGGTCGATATATCCACTTTTGTTTGTTTTGGTGATAGGAATGAAATGGGGATGGTTTAGAGGATTGTCAGTTTCATCGTGTAGGCTTAGTTTATGGAAGAAAACAGCTTCATCGTCTATAGATTATGAGGTTTGGGGGGGGGGGGGGAATTAATTTTTCACGATAACTTACTTGGTCGTTAATGTCAGAGGGAGTGTGGGCTTCTTTTGGCTTATTGGTGCTTCTCTCCTGTTGGTCTTGTTCTTGACCGGTGAGCTTGACATCCGAGGTTGAAGTCATTGATGAGCAGGCGCAAATCTGGAAACTTGAGGTGTGGCGGATGCAATAATAGGATAAAGGAAGACTCTCTCTCTAAAAGTTAGAGAGAAGGCAGAGCAAAATGAACTGATAAGTCAATCGTGTTGGATTAGAGCAAAGGTTAGTTGTGCACGTGGTTTCCATCTTTCTTCCTAGATGACATTGGTTGAAAGTGAAAGTGACTTGCAAAAAACGCTAAAACATGTCCATCTCCTCATTGATTGACCAATGTAAGTTTTTACATAATTCAGTTTTAATGTAGGGGAAGTTTCAGAATATACACCGTAAGATTCACTTTCATTATATACTTAAGTTTTAAAATTATATCAAATATCTCAAAAATATTACTCTCAAAAATGACCGTTCCTCTTTTTTGGCTTTTTAGTGTCATAAAATTAGAATTCCGTCGGATTCCTAAATTTTCGTGTGCATAGCCTACACCATCGGCATGGGTTTGGGCGAGCGGACCCGAATCGCCTAAAATTTTGCCGGCCCATAAAAAATTACCTAAGGAACAATAGTCATCGCCTCGCCATGATCGTTCCTCGTTTTTTGGCATTTTAGGATCATAAACTGGAATTCCGTCCGATTTTTAGATTTTCGTGTGCTATAGCACACACCATCGACATGAGTATGGGTGACCGGACTCGAACCATCTAAAATCTTGCCGACCCATCAAAAATCATCTAATAAACAATAGTCATTGCCTTGCAAGATCCGTTCCTCATTTTTGGCATTTTAGGGCCATAAAACTGGAATTCCGCCCCAATCCCATATTTTCGTGTGCTATAGTCTATGCCACCAGCAAGGGTTCGAGCGACCGATCGCCTAAAATGTTTTCGGCCCATCAAAAACTACCTATTGGAATTTCAGATTTTCGTGTGCTATAATCCATGCCATCGGCATGGGTCTGGGCGAGCGAACACAAATCGCCAAAAAATTATCGGCCCATCAAAAACCACCTAAGGAACAATATTCATCTTCTCGCCATGACCGTTATTCATTTTTTGGCATTTTAGGGTCAAAATTGAAATTTCACTCGATTCCCAGATTTTTTGGTGGTGTATCCCATGCTATTGGCATGGGTCCGGGCAACCGAAACATCATCGCCTAAAATTTAATCGACCCATAAAAAATCACCTAAGGAACCATATTCATCACCTCTCCATGACCATTCCTCGTTTTTTGGCGTTTTAGGACCATAAAACTATACTTCCACCCGATTCCTAGATTTTCGTATGCTATAGCCCACGCCATCTGTATGGGTTCGTCAATTGATCACCTAAAAGTTTGCCTACCAATCATAAACCACCTAAGGAACAATAGTCATAGCCTCGCTATGACCGTTCCTCGTGTTTTGGCGTTTTAGGGCCATAAAATTGAAATTTCGCCCGAGTCCTAGATTTTCGTGTGCTATAGCACATGCCATCGGCATGGGTCAGGGCGATTGATTGCCTAAAATTTTATTGGCCCATCAAAAACTACCTAAGGAACTAGGGCTTTTCAAAACTGTAACTGTTAATCGAATCGAAAAAAATGGCTTATTGGTATCGACTTATCGGGTTAACGGTTGGGGAGCGAATTAAAATTTTATAATTAACGGCTTAATAATTTGGGAGCGGATTACTCAATTTTCTTATCGGATAAACCGTTAACCCGTTAATTTTTTTTTTCATACTTATACTTTTACTCCTGTTTATGTTTGTTTTTTAAATTTCTTTTACAAGAATTACATTTACCTTAGTATGTGTTGTGTCGTTTTTGCGTGCTACAGTATTGAGAGTATATGTAAGACTAAGAAAAAGGCTACGCATGAATTCACATTTTAAGGTTGTGATTTTGCTTTTGATGACTATGAATCTGAACTAGATCCTATCGATTGCTATTTATGATATCCACAACAAATCTCCCTAATTTTCTCAAACATATTTGACAGCAGCAGCTTTATTTGACGTCAATTTGATTTAACCGATAAGCTGCGTTTGATAACCACCCATTAATCATTAATCTGATATCATTCAGCCCGATGCCTTATTGGATGATTAGCGGATTATCACATTTATAAATTGATAACCGATAAGTCAAACTGTTAAGCGTAAATAACCGCCCGATCTGCCCGATCAGTACCCCTATAAGGAACAATAGTCATCGCCTCGCCATGACTGGTCCTCGTTTTTTGGTGTTTTAGGGCCATATAATTGGAATTTCACCCGATTCCTAGGTTTTCGTGTGCTATAGTCGGCATGGTTCCAGACGACCGGGCCCGAATCGCCTAAAATTTTGCCGGCCCATCAAAAACAACCTAAGGAACAATAGTCATCACCTCGCCATGACCGTTCCTCATTTTTTGGAGTTTTAGGGCCATAAAATTAGAATTCTGCCTAATTCCCAAATTTTCGTGTGTAATAGCCCAAGCCATTGCCATTGGTCCGGGCGACCAGATCCGGATCATCTAAAATTTTATCGTCCTATCAAACAACAGCTAAGGAACAATAGACATCGCCTTGCCATGTTAGTTCCTTGTTTTTTATCGTTTTAGGGCCGTAAAACTAGAATTCTACCTGATTTCCATATCTTCATGTGCAATAACCAACGCCAGCGGCATAGGTCCGAGCGACCGAACCTGAATCGCCTAAAATTTTACCGGCCCATCAAAAATCACCTACGAAATAATAGTCATCGCCTCGCTAAGACCGTTCCTCATTTTGTAGTATTTTAGGGCCATAAAATTGAAAATCCGCCAGATTTCAAGATTTTCGTGTGCTATAACCCATGTCATCTGCATGAATCCGGGCGACCAAACTCCAATCGCCTAAAAAGTTTTCGGCCCATCAAAAACCATCTAAGGAACAATAGTCATCGCCTCACAATGACCGTTCTTTATTTTTTGGCGTTTTAGGACCATAAAACTGAAATTCTGCTCGATTTTCAGATTTTCATGTGCTTTAGCCCATACCATCAGCATGGGTTCGGACGACCGAACCTGAATCATCTAAAATTTTGTCGACCTATCAGAAATCACCTAAGGAACAATAGTTATCGCCTCGTCATGACCGTTCCTCATTTTTGGCATTTTAGGGCCTTAAAACTGGAATTCCGCTCTATTTTTAGATTTTCGTGTGCTCTACCCCACGACATCTGCATGAGTCTGGGCGACCTGACCTGAATCGCCTAAGAAATATTTGGCCCATCAAAAATTACTTAAGGAACAAT